GAACGCAATTCAAAATCTTTGATTCAGACCTCGTACTTCTGCCGTGCTCTTATCGAACTTAATTCAAGAAGAAGCACAGTTGAAAAGCACTACGGTGGCAGAAGCACGACGTATGAACTAAGCCTTAATTTACTGTTCAGTACGGGCCGGCAACAAGGCAACTAATCGCGCCATATTTAATCGGCGAAGGACTTTTTTGAAAGTCTAATAATACTAGTTTATTACATATGACTTTCTGTTTGGGGGACCGGAAACAAGTGCGGGACAAGTGATTTGACAGTTATTTGAAAAGGAGGAGGCAATCATAGGTTTTATTGGTTCACGAAAAAAAAACCGGCACATTCCCTTGAAAGTGAATGCAACTGTGCCACGTTGAAAAAAGGTTTCCGTAATGGTCGAAGGGTTCTTTGTTGCTCAAGTGGGCAGAAATGTTGGGAAACGTTTTCTGTGAAAGAATTAGAAGACACTAATAATAATAATAATAATAATAATAATAATAATAATAATAATAATAATAATAATAATAATAACAACAACACTACTGGTCTAAAGTTTTGGTCGTGCGGGGTATCAGGCCGATGCATTCTGCTTGGAGTTTAGTAAGGCATTTGACAGTGTCTCATTTTATATTATAGCACAAGTTATGTAATTGTGGTGTCTCTGGCTGCCTTCTAGACTGGTGCAGGGACTACTCACAGCTGTACTTATCGAATCGAAAGCAGAGGGTAGTATTAAAACTATTAGATGGAGTAAGCTAGCTCCGACTGGCGTCCTATCTCCTCAGGGGTACCCAGGGGTCCTCTGTAAGGCCCTTGTTTTCAGTGATGTTTATTATTGACCTGACTGATGTTGTTTCTCCTGCAAGTTTGGTGACTGTGTGCATGCAGATGATTGTAAAACCTCGTGGGTCATTCAACGTCCATGCGATCATGAATCGTTTCAAGATGAGCTAAATGACTTGGTTCCTTGAAATGGGCTAAATCATATGAGCTTCAATACAAAGCAATGCAAGTTAAAGCGGATTCCAAAAAATCGCTCTCCTATTCTACTTGCTCCTCTACAACTGGATGGTACCACCCTTCAAGTTACCGCTGAATTTTCCGATCTTGGCTTGCTCATCACTAACCAAAAATTAAACTGTCCTGGAACTCTCTCATAGACAAGATTTCCAGCAAGGCGAACAAAGTGCTTGGTTTGTTAAAAAGGAATGCAAGAGTTTTAACAGATGCTTCAACGCTAAGAACTCTGTATTGCACCTTGGTTAGGTCACAGCTGGAATATGGGTCTGTTGTTCAGTCACCTTTCACTGCCAGAAATATTAAAATTAGAAAGAGTGCAGCGTCGTGCCAAGAAGTTCACCCCAAAAACTAAAGGTGACTATGAAGTTCGTATCTTTAAGCTTAATCTACTGTCCCCAGAACACCGACGTTTTCTTTTTGATTTACTAGTATTCTTCTTTATAAAGCTTTGAATGCATACATTAATATAGATATGTCTGCATATGTCCAATTCTACTCTGATACTGCTAGGTACCCTATAAAAGAAAAAGACATCCTTACTTTAAAGAAGAACTATGCTCGAACAAACACGTTCAAGTTTAGTTTTTTGAAATTAGCTTCCATTTCACGTTTGGTGTGACAGCACCTTACTAGCCTTGTTTGTTTTCATCAATACCGGCCTACCACAGGACATTAAAGAACCAGATAACAACCAAGATTAGTAGTTACGTTCTCCTAACGAAGAAGATAAGTAGCAAAAAAGGAAAAACATACAAACAAATATCACCATCAACAAAAACAGTTATATTTTTTGCCTTCGCTCCACGACTACGACTTAACAATTCCAAATTTTATGAAGGGCGTGAACACAGAGAGGAATTCATTTTCTTAACTTGTATGCAGTCCTTTAGAGTCAAACTCCAAAAAAGTTAGTCAACAGTTGGCCCATTGATGAAGAAGGAATAATAGCGTAGTTGCTCAAACTCCTTATTCACAATCAGCGCATTATCTATGGCGCCCTCAAATTCTGCATAACCTTAGATTTAGGGGGCAGGGGGCAAAGAAGGGTGACAAAGAAAATGTGCAAATTGCGATTTTCCTGAACTGAGGCCTCCGTTTTCAAAAGAAAAGTCATCCCGGGATAGAGGATCACCCTCCCTGCTGAGTCAACTCTAGCGGGCGCAGTTTATGTATATAAGAAAAAAAAAAAAAGATGACCCCTTTAACCGAGCCAACAATAGCGTTCGGGCATGCTCTGATCGTCTCACCTTGACCAGGTTTTAAGTTGGACCGGAAAGGATGGTGACCGGGTCAACCTTCTAGCCGAGCCAACCTTTTGTTTTTGGTGTAGACGGTTTGCCAAGCTTTACAAGAAGGTGAAGGAAATTTGGCTCTGCAGTCGCCCATAGTAGACTATGGTAGCTCGGAAGGTGGGTGACACCTCTATCCAGACAAGTTTTCTACATATGAACGGGTTCTAAGAGAGCAATATCGTTTTAACAGGATCCCATCCTTTTTTTAGTACCAAGGATTACTAACGTTCAGGCTTAAAAAAAAAAAACGAAATAGCTGATAAAAATGGGTTCATTACTTTCAATAAGTAATAAATAAATAAATAAATAAAGTGTCTTTATTGTTCAAAAGATAAAATTACATATCTTATGTTACATTTAAATATAACAATGTTAATGGGCTAAAGTATGTCTCTAAATAAGATTGCTATATGCATAGAAAGAAATACAAAAATCGAATACAGAAAGTACACTATTTACAAAGCTACATTATACTTGAAGACAATTCTATTAAAGAATGTATTCTTAAAACGGTCCGTGTGAATGGCGGGCATTGCGGGAGATTTATTCCTTAAGTTGTATCTTGTAATCTTAGTCTCAGGGAAGTTAGCTCTGAGAGGGTGGTTCGGGATACTAAAAACCTTGCAAGATGGTGTCATTTTACTACTACGACAAAAAAATCCTTGTCATTTTTCCTTTCATTTTTAAAATTGGTATTCTCAGCGAGGCTTAAATAACAACAGCCCTAATTTCCATAGGAAAAGCAAAATCCTGAAGGATTCTTGTTGTAGTATACTGAAATGACGTCTTATGCAAATTGCCTGGTACTTTGCAAATCAAAAAACCGAGTGAAGTTCTTTTTGATTTGCTTTAATTACCAGCAACCTAGGGAAACACGTTTAAAACAATTCCCCTACCCGGGACAGAAGAGTGGGATTTACCAGAGAGTGGTAACAACGGACAAAACTGAACAATGCTAAAGAGAAAAGAAAACTGAAGGCGATTTCCAAAAGTCAGACCAGTCACTTTGGAAATGAAATATTTCATTGTTTTTTTTTTCGAAATTTTTACTCAAACCCATCCCCGCCGTGCATTCCATTCTGAAATAAACTGATCTGGCTAGATAATCCTGATTAATAGCGGAATTCTCCTGACGACTGAAAAGCGTGGCCTGGCCAGCCATTTCTGACCAATGGTGAGCTTACTTTCAGAAGACCATCTTTAGTGCCTCCCTTAAAGCGGCATTTCTTTGAATCTGAATAGCAGGAATAAAACTGGAAATCAGCTGGCTGCAGGTTACAGCCCAAGGAAGTAGAATGTTTCCTGAAATGATGGTGCGTTCTAAATTAAGAACCACTACAACAGGAATAAGAGTCAATAGAGTCGCCACCGTGTAGAACGTCATGTTCTTAAAAGCCTTTTCCTCCCTTCTGAAGAGGATCGTTTGTTGAGAGTTGTGAGTGGCACTAACGATCTTTTTGTTGTTGGAACGGATTGCGCAGAAGGTCAAAACGTGTCCGCCAATCTGTATGGCCAACGCTGAAATCAACACCATACTTTCCAACGGTTGATAAATCCCTGCAGGTACAATGAGTTCCATAAGGCTGTAGATGAACCAGATCACCCATACACCGACGATAATCTTCACCATCCCTGAAATTTCATTATGTATTATTTTAAGACTCAAGCAAGTTACTGAACCATTAGCTTAACTGGCGGAGCAGCATTAAAAAGACATTTTTGTAGCCAGTCTTCAAAATTGGGAAGGTGGTGGTAACGATAAGGGACATATTTGACCTCAATGTTGTCGTCAGGTGACCTGCGAGGCAGCAAAAATGTAAGATTTGGGTGCAAACCTTCAGTTTTAGCTTAAAATGGGTGTTGTTCTGTATCTACGTTCTTGTGTAAAAAGGGGATTACGTAATGGAGGAGAGAATTAGTCACCTGACGTCTAAAAAAAATGAAAAGGTAAGTAGAAATTAAGACGGTTTTGCTGAAGATTTCATGTGGAATATTTCTTAATTATGTTCATCAATCGTGCCTAAATTTGAAAAATGTCCTCATGAGGTCATCGACCAAGAAATGCCACGCTTCTAATGATCACTTAAACAATCAAAGCAGACTGATGCAATTAACCAGGTAAGTTGGATACTTTTTCGCTTTTTTCACATTAAGGGTTCAAAATGAACTTTGTAAACCTAACAGAACAGAAAGATTATTCGCTTGATTAACAGATTTTGCTTTAAACATTAGTGATTATAATTACTCTGCAGATGCAAGCTTAAAAATCGCGCCTATGTATTAACAGGGAAATTTTTGTCCTCTTTTATTTTTAAAAAGTATTGACTGAATATACCGTATATATAAATACTGAGGCTGTACAATGCTCGTTCGCAACTGAATTAAGTGGCCTGGAAGAATTCAATCTTTACGAGCGCGAACTTGAAAGGCTGTTCAACAGCAATACCACAGAATCTAAATACAGAAATCAGAAGCTGCAAAAACTGCAGAAAAGAGGCATGATATCTATCTTAAAGTTTTTAATTGCAATTCTTTCACCTGTAGCTCAAAGCAACTGGTCTCTGTAATTTGTTTTTTTTTTCAACGTCGAGAAGATAGAAACAGTTGATTAGTTAATTTTGATCTTTGAGCACTGAATTTAGGTATAGGCAAATGCGTCTTGCAATGGTGGGTGTCTAGTACTATTATTCATACCTCGCAGTGTTACTTTGGCTGAATGCTCAAGAGGGCTTGAAACAGCATACAATCTTTCGACGCTTGTTATTGCCAAGTTTACGAAGGTAAACCCGAGAAGCATTTGTGGAAGAAGCCTACTGGCTTGGTAAAGATAGACTAATTTGCAAGGGTCTTGAGATTGATGCAGAAGAAAGCGCCATGCCACGTACACAGGCTGAAGAACAAGGCCGGTTAGACAATCAGAGGCAGCCAGGCTACATAGCAACACGTTAACTGGACGGTGGAGTGAAGGAGAACGGATTATTGTGACTATAACAACCAGGTTAGCGATCACGGCAAATATGGCAAATGGGATGTTAACGACCATGATACCAGTGTCACTGATGTATACAGACTTGACGTTGACGGCGTTTAGAATCCAAGAGGGGAGGCATAGATCAGAACTGTCATGGTTGTTATTAGCTGTATTGTTTAAACCTCCAGTTTTGTTGATCAGCATGTTTCTGTTTTCTTGGTGTCAGATGATTCTTCATATGGTTCTGCAAGATAAAGTAATAATAATAAAAAAAATTAATGATTCACGCCATACACGAGGGTGCAGTATTGAGTTTCAAAGAGATTTCTTAGTATGAGGCAGATTATCCAGCCTAGTTTTCTGAAGGAAAGGCATCGCTGATTCCGACGACCGGAGAAATTTACAAGCAACCGACCATTGCTTGTTTAAACACTACCATGTGCAAATGGTTTACATCTTGAATACCTGTCCCCGACAGACCAGCATTTAGACGAATAACTTGATGGAGGGTGTGCAGTGGGATGCTCGTATAGGATGCAGGTTGATTGATCGGACGGTGACTTTGTGTAAAGGGGGAAGGAATACGAGGGTGCTGGGTGTCACAAGGAAAGGGAGGGGTACCTCTGAAACCGGTAATGAAAAGGCTCAATAATAACTGGTTGCGCTATGCCCGAGACTGTTTACAGCGTGCTTAAACCCAGCAGCCTGGAATATCAGTGTTACCGAGGGATACAGATTATCCAAACCCACCAGTGTTACGGACTGGCACATATATCATTCTTTGACCTTAAGATTTTCGCTGCATCTGAAGACAAACGCAAGAACTTTATGAACATGGTCAAAACGACTACGGAAGATGTCGGGCTCGAATAGAACCCCAAGAATTGAAGGGCGCAGTGATACATGTAAAAAAAAAAGAGTGCGCGTGAGTCATAACTGATCTGAATGATATTGGATGAGACGGCCAGAATACCAAGTCTTGAGGACGGGAAGCAGTACAAGTTAATAGGGCATGCTTGAAAATGTGACGCAGGAAGATAATTTGGTCTTGGATTGCGCAGCCAAGAAGTACCTCCGGCGGATGTCAGTTATTTGGACAAGTCCTTAGTCACTCCACAATCTGCACAATCGTGTTATCGCGTCAAATCGGTTTGTCAACCAATACTTGGCTATCTAAGGTGAAAACAACGGTAGCCTATTATAAATGGATCTACAGCAGATCGACAGGGAAGCTCGGAAGACTGTTATTGAGAACGGATAAAGGCACCCGTGTGGCTCGAATACGTTATTCGACCTGCTAGAGAAAAGAGGCAGGGCCTGCGTTTGGCAGATATGGAATATTACGCTACGAAGGTTAAGGGTGCGGTTAGACTCTTCATGGTTTGCGGAGGAGCTTGGTTTCGTGCTTAATCTCGAGCACCCACGTACACTCAGTCAAGACGGAATTGTGAAATAGTCAAGTGAACAGGATGAAGTGAGAAATCAACGATGGCAGGGAAGTCTAGTTTCAACTAGCCTTACATTATGAGAAGGTGAACGCTAATGGATGCTTCTGGTGGCTGACAGAGTGGACGTCCTGCCTAATACACACAATTATATTTGCCGCTATACGATCAACTCTTACCAACTCAGTCGGTCATATGCCAGGTAGAAGACCCATACAAGTTTGTGGAACCAGGCGTGGTGCAGCGTGTTCAGTTAAGCCCCAGATAGTGTGGCCTCACATCTTGCCCAGGTGCAGTGCCCTGGCACAGAGCAAAAAGCTATCCAGACACGTCTCAGCTTTAAAAGTACCGTTTTCTGAGATGCTGCATGATCTGGGACTCGTAGATGGCTCACCATTTGTGTCGTTACCACATCTTTATCTCTTTCCATTATTTGTTTATTCTTGAACCTTATAATCAATACCCGATCGCGCTTCCCCCTTTAATTTTGGAAGTATTAATCGCGTTCTAAAGAAAGGATTTCATAGATATATTACGACAGCTGAGGAATTCTCACAGCTCGCATGTTCATTAGATAAGAATCTCAGTGTTCTTTAATATGAAATAGAAAAACTGAAAGAAAATTTCAACATGTTAAAAAATAAAAAAAATACTTGTAGTAAACCTCAACAATAATTAAAAACGTTTCAAGCCTGCTTTTTAATGATTCTGAACAGATGGGGCGATTCTCAGATCAAGAGGAAGATTGTTGCAAAGCGCAGACGTGTAAAATGAAAAAGCGTGAACCATCATAATTAATTTCCTAAACATCTGAAGACGTCTTTAGTTTTTTTAAAAAAATAAAATAGTAGTAAAAATTACACTTTCATTATCTGAAATTTAATTTGCCCAGCTTTGTCATAAGCATCAGCTGTTTGGTACTCATAAGTTCAAAAGCTATAACATTTGGAATAAAATGGAATTATCGAAGTACTTACCTTTGCTTTTCCTGATTTACATAAGGTTTTCACACAACATTCAGAGTTACTTAAAAGCCACAGAAGCCGAATCTTTCATATCGGCTGATCATTTTCACTTCATGCAATTGCAAAACCTCTTCAAAGCAAAATGCCCTATTTTGAAGCCAATTATTTCAAAACGTTTTTTTCCCGAAGTTGTGTTCGTATGTTTTGTCCGCATGGTTTAAACTTTTTGCTGACATACGCTTTTACCGCCTCCTTTTTCTGTGTCGTACCATTACAAACCTTTATCTCATTCCGTTTCATTTATTCAGTCATCAACGTTATTAATATATAGGCCCAGTTCAAACGTCGAACTTTTTATGCACCGATCCTAATCCCTTCACTTTTAAAAGCACATGAAAGAAAAAGAACGAATCGGCAGCAAAGTCCGACATGTCTAATTATGGTCGACCCATGAATTAAGATCGAGTAGCCTACATGGGAAGTTCGCGAATTGGATTATGGAGCGAGTTCGTTTTAAACATCGATCTTTTCAAGTGCCAAATTTAATGTATAAGTTACTATATTTATTTGACTGGTAAGCATTGTAGATCATTGTAGATCGTGAAAATGATGTGAGTCTGACTAATAAAGTTCGACGTTTGAATCATCCGTCGAACTTACATCATTTGGGTCGACCCAAATACGTATAAGTTCGGTACATGAGAAGTTCCCTTTCATTTTCAAAGGAAGCCGCGCTCAAAGAAAATGATCTCAGAGATTAGGACGGCCCAGAATTCTTACAGCTTGCATATCCATTACATCTAATTCTCGATTATGTTCTTACAATATAAAATAGAAATAAAGAAACTGAATAAAAAATTGCAAATTAAAATTCTAGGTCGTAAATAATAGCTCAAATTCTTATTAAACCTCAAAATTTATTAAAAAGGTTTTAAACCTTCTTTAATTTACCCAACAGATGAGGCGATTCTAACATCAAGAGAAAGATCGTTCCAAAGAACAGGCACTCATGAAAAAGCAGAGAAAACCGTTTCACTCCCCAACGCCATTTGCAAGTCCGTAGCCTGAGTATCAGGTGTTATTGGGGGAAAATGAAAAAGAAAGAAGCGATACAGTTTCCTCCTCGACGCGCTCTGATAGGATGCGCACAGTTGAAAAAAAAAAATGATAAAAAGTTCAATCGAGAACGAAAAAGAGCTGTCCAATCTCGATTGGACGAATTTCGCTTCATACGAAAGTTATAATATTAAAGTCCCCGTGTGGCGCACATATTTTTTGGCATATAACAGATCATAAACTCAAACGAAAGAAATTCGAACAACGTACTTCACAGACTTCACAATGAAGTACTTAAGAGGCCTTGGAATATCACAGGAGGCTGAAACAGGCTTCGGTTAGTTATTTAATTTACGTAATTTTACGCCTCCAGAACGGTTGTCAACTTTAATTTGTGTTTAGGATTCACCTCTTTTAGCCTGCTGCTATGAAGTTTTTCAAAACTCAATATAACGATAAGGAATTTTGTGTAGCCAGTTGGTAGGTGCTGTTTCCTTCTATAGCTATCTCCCGAGAAGGGGCCATTGTGAGATAATTAGGACGACTGGTACGTTATATATTTTATTAGCTGTCACGTCCCCAAATCAGTGTTAGAGGGAACGAACAATAGCTGGACTAAATCTTTGCAAGTGATTGAAAATATTGTGATTTTCTAACCGATGACTATAGCGCAGTGGATTCTAAATAACTTCAGTCTTGCTGGTTCATTCTACAGTAAATTAACAGCAGTAATATCTAGTGAGACAACAAATGGAGTATAAAGACTCTTCTCTGGAAATAACGATTGCTAAAAGCATTTGTACCTGGGTAAGTTTCTGGCGGGACTTCTCACAACTTTATCGTAACTACTAAGTAAATGACAAATTTTAGAAAAGAAGATCTCCGTGTTTGATAGGTCCATGGAAACGACTAACAACAGCTCTTTTCATTTGGCTATTTTTGATTATATACCTCCACATAAATCAATTGCTGACAGATGAAAGCAAAGTTGTAATTTTGTCCGTCGCCTGTTTTTCTTTGTGTTTTGATGGTTTGTTTGTTTGTTTGTTTGTTTTTTTTTAATTTCCCATCGAATACAGTGCGCAGACTCCACGTGATCTGAAAAGGTGACTTTATGTATTGACTTCATGCTAAAACACCGATTTGCCCCACCCACAACCCAGGGTACACCGTTTAACACAATCACTCAAACCCCTGCGACAGATGGACTGGACGTTTCCAGTTTCGTAAGGAGGAAGGCGAGGGGTGGGGTGGGGGGGACTGTCAACAACTTTATGAAATTCTGACGGAAGAAGGTAAAACTAAGCTAAGTACACGGAAATCCAAAATTTTATACGACAAAGAAGCCAATGCTTTTTTTTTGCTTGCTTAGCAACATTTTTTAATCATGCCATGACATATGAGAGAGATTTTCCAACTCGGCAGTGGATACAAACTAGTCCCACAGCCTGCGAGTCCGTTTCGCCGGGCTACCGGCCGGGCCCCTAATGACAATCCTGAGTCCGGGTGGACTGCAGATAATGCCTAGACCATTCACAGGGCCATCTTTAGTGCCTGCCTCAAGGCGGCATTTCTTTGAATCTGAATTACTGGGTTTATACTGGATATTTGCTGGGAGAAGATTTGAGCCCAAGGGAACAGAATGTGTCCTGAAACAATGCTGTTTTCCACATGATTTAGCAGCACAAGAAGAGGAAGAAGGGACAGTAACGTCGCCACTGTGTAAAATGTCATGTCTTTAAACGCTTTTTTCTCTCTTTTAAAGAGGATCGCTTGTTGAGAGTTGTGGGTGGCATTAAAGATCTTTCTGTTGTTGTTACGGATTGCCTGGAAGGTCAAAACGTGCCCGCCAGTGATTATGACCATCATTGAAATGATCGTGATATTTTCCAGCGGTTGATAGATCCCCTCAGGTACAGTGCTTTCCATAAGGATTATATTGATGAACCAGATCACCCATGCACTGACGACAGTCTTCACCATTCCTGAAACACAAGTTTCGTATAACTTTAAGAATCCAGTTAGTTTAGGCATGGGTCACGGGCTAAATTTGCTTTGCGGGATTAGGAAGGGATTGTTTTGATTATAGTCTTCGAATTGGAAAGTATTTTCCCGGTGTTCTTAGCGATAAATGGAAAGACGTTACCGTTTCAGTCACTACCTTCGAGGCGCAGAAATTGAAAGAGCAGCATATGTTTTTTTTTGTGTGTGTGTGTTCAATTCTTCTAATCAGTTCTTCAGTTTCGCTTAAGATGATTAGTACGAATTAGTCCTGTATGTACGTCATTAAGTAATAAAGGAGACCCAGTCACATGATTTCTTTGTACCTTTCCCTTTAAACTGAAAGGAGGCCTGATACTTAGCTTTAATTGCAAGTTTAGACCGGAGAGGCCTTGGAGCTGCCCCCACCTCGCTAAAAAGGTTTAATAGCTGCAATCCCGTTTAGGCAATGACCGCCAAACCTGGCGACTTTTTCTCAAGATTTATCTAGAAACATTTTAAAGTCGTGTGCCTTGTACGTCAACATTGACGTTACCATGGCAATCGAGTATTAACAGCCATGTTTTTCAAGATTTGAAGTAGTTCTATATAAAAGGCTTTATCATTATTTTTTAAATAATGAATTATTAATTATATTGTATAGACCGATCATTAACTGGTCAGGGTGTGATTGCAAGCGATAAATATAGTCAAGCGTTACAACTAACTTCAGAAACAAGAGCCATAATATTATGGCTCTTGCCAGGAACAATAACGAACTAAGCAGTAATCGCTTGTAAACTAAAACGTTAAAGGAAATCTTACAGAAGGAAACTGTAGCTACAAATTTCCTCAAGGGTTTTAACCCGGGGGGGGGGGGGTACTGCCATATATGGGCTATATAGGTATGTGCCGCTGTGAAGGGTATGGTTTTCAAGCAGTTTACTCTAGGATAGGGTATATAAATCAGAGCGTTTGGGTCTAGAATAGGGTATCATTTTTCAGGAAACTGATCACTTGGTTGAAGATTTTATCTAGACTAGGGAAACAGCTACTCTTGGATAGGGGGATTTTGGGGAGTTTACTCTGGTTTAGGGTAGCAAAATTCAGCTGAACTAGCTCTGGTATAGGTTAAGGGTTCCAGGGTCCCAGCGGCACATCCCCACCCAGAAATTCCTAAAGAACCCCCACCCCCCCTTTCACTGCCAAATTTGGCCAAAAGCAAATTTCAACCAAATTTCCAAATTTCATTTTGAAATGTGATATTTGAAAAATAAATAGCACCATGTATATATGAATACAGGCAAAGAGCTTTCATTTGAATGGTCACATCATAGGATTTCGTCCTCCAGCTCAAAAGTTTGAGTCACCTTACAACTCTATCAAGTATTTTGGCGGTGAAAGGGTTAATAGGAACTCGCCGGGTTTAACTGGTTAATTACCTTTAGAGCGTCGTTGTCCCCAGACAGAACAAAAGAGTCAGCAGTCTCTCTCTTTTTTCTTCTCGTGCTTACGTTTATCGCGGTTCGCGTGCTTGGGTTTCGCGTGGGTTTTTAATTGTTTCTCCCCCCACCCCTTCCCAAAAAAAAATAAATAAAAGAAGGAAGGAAAAAGAGAAAAAAAGCCCGGTCTGAATAGGGTTAAACAATTTTAAACAAGTCCTATACCACTTTAAGAACCCTAAAATGGAATTTTCTGTGTACTTGGTTAAGAATAGGGTAGACTAGAATAGACCAAACAATGCCATTTCTGCAGGGGTCTGCTACAATTCTTCATACCTCTCAGTGTTACTTTGGCTGAATAAGAAAGAGGCTTCGAAACAGCATACAACCTTTCGACGCTCATTATTGCCAAGTTCACGAAGGTGCAACCGACAAGCAGGGCAGGAAGAGATTTACTGGCTTGGTAGAGATGAACCAATTCGCAAGGGTCTTTAATGTGATGCAGCAGAAAGCGCCATGCTATGTATACAGGTTGAACAACTAGGCCGGTTAGAAAATCAGAGGCAGCCAGGCTACACAGCAACACGTTAACTGGACGGTGGAGTGGGGGAGAACGGATTATGGTGACTATAACAGCCAGGTTAGCAACCACGGCAAATATGGCAAATGGGATGTTGACGACCGTTATCACAGTGTCACTGATGTACACAGACTGGACGTTGACGGCGTTTAGAATCCAAGAGGGGAGGCATAGTTCAGAACTGTCATGGTTCAAGACGATGTTATTAACTGTATGGTTTAAGCCTGCAGTTTCATTGACTAACATGTTCTTTTCGTTTTTGGCTGGAAGTACAGTTCTGTTACCTATAAAACAAGAGAACATTTGGATTAGAGATATGTTTATTATTCACTTGTGCAGATTTAAGCAGTTTTTATTCAGTTCCTCGTGAAGAAAGTCCAAAGGCCTCGCGCGGCGAGGTTTTTAAATTTGTTGTGTGTTGAGTAAGCTGCTTAAGTTGTATTGTTTAAACTTCCAATCCTCCATTTCATTAGGTTGTCCATTGTATTGCAAAATCAAATTCAACAGTCTCGCTACATCAAAATAAGAGGAATTTGTTTCAAGTATATTAACCCTCGGACGTACGGGGGGGTGATTGGGAGGAGGTGGATGCCACCCGCCATTTAGGTTTTTCTGAGTTTTTCCTAGAAGATCAAGCCTCAACAACTGACGTTCTCAGTAGCTGTTTGTTTATTCCTGGCTCACATTTTCAGACAAATTTAGTGATGATCAGTTAGTGTGGTTACGAGATATGATGTCATAAGTAGTAGGTTGTCAAGCCATTTTTAAGTGAAAATGCAGGTTTTTTCAACTTATTTTAACGATTAAAGAAAAGCATGGTTAAAATGAAGCAAAGTACTTATTTATGAGTTATTTTACACGTCAAGCACAAAATTATCAATTATCTCTGTTTTTACTTCGCAAAATCCAAGATGGCGGCCAAGATGGCTACCATGTTTGGTGACGGCACAGGTCTCCAGTAGCGCCACCACCCATAATATGTACTTCATCTTTACGAGAAGTTCAAAGGCTTTCCACTGAGGGTAATTTTTTTCAAAATACTGCAATATATAAAAAACTCTAGGGAGGGGTTCCAACACCCCCGCCCCCCCTCTCCCATATTTTACCACGGTGGGGGTATGAGTGTAAGTCCGAGGGTTAACCATCATTATTTGATGATGGAGATATAAGTACTTCTTTTGATGCAAGATTTGACTCCCACTGTGTTTGACACTCTCCCAGTGAATAATCATAAGTATTTTGTTTTTTCAGCCTTTTGTTACTTTGTACCTTCTCATTCTATTTAACTCTTCGTTCAATGTAATAACTCACCCCAGAGGCGTGTGGAATGTTTGTTTTAACATAGGAACAACCAAAAAGTGATTCAATCAGAAGCAGGGCAGTCGCTTCTGGTTTAACAATATCGAGTCATTTTCGGTTTTTCCGTTTGGCTTCATTAATATAATAGATGGAGCCCAGATGAAGCTAATGAACTTTTTGAAGTTAACCAATTCTTTGATCAAAATTCGGCTACAAATAGTAAATTCTTAACTACAGGATACAAACAGCGAATTATCAGTTGAAGGAAGAATTAACAACACTAAACAACTTTCACCTTTTTTTATTATCATTATTTCTTAAGTACCTGAAAAAACGCTGCCATTTACCACCACGAAATCACGTTACATTTCAGTGGATAGTATTTTTATTTGTTGGTAACAAAACTAAACCGAATCCTTTCACGTTTCCTATTTTCGGCTTTTCAAAACTATAAACGCTTATATCGAATAAGAACATTTCATTTAATGGAAATATTTCTACAAGTTAGGCAATTGAATGTTCTTTAGCGGAAGGTTTCTCGGTCTTCAGACAACTTCAGTTTTGAATTCATACGGCCAGCAAAACCTCTCTGTTAAACTTATCACGTTCAAAAACCTAGCTATCTGCTAAACTGGATGTCCTTTTAAATGCTGTTATTAAATGAAATGGAAAAATGTTATACAGCTGGCATTGCCTTTTTTCCCTAGCTTCCTTCTCTCGATTTGTGGAGCCCATAAGGATTAATTTGAGCAAGTTTTGCTATGTAAATAAAGCAAGAGGACTTGAAAGAAAATTATTTTCAAACGTACCTGTAATTACTGTCGTTTTAATCACAAGTAAAACCCCAAGCTGTGAGATGAACTTCAGGGTACAAAGGTTTGGGCATAATGACTTACCAGTAACTCACATTATTTTAAAGTGATATTTGAACTAGGAGGCGCAAATCATGATGCCCTGATTACGCTTTTAACAAAATTGACTATAAATTATATTGGCTTACCTTTCTGCTCTCGTTTGTTTTCAGTTTCTCAAAGAATAAATCAGGCACTTAAGAAATGTGGCATTGAAATATTAATTATACAACAAAGAAAGCATAATCATATTCGAGGAAACTTGGCAAAAATGAGCCTCATTTTTGTCAGTATGTTATGCCTGATTGCCGATCTTCTAAAAAACTGAAGTGGGCTTGGAAAGATTTGCGCGTGTGCTTTTATTTTCAAACCTCGGTTTCAGAAATGATGGCTAGTTGTGACGAATGTTCGCGTGTCACGTTTTGCCAAAATGTCATTATAATGGAACGAGCATTCACTAGGAGGTTACTGTATTGTTTGTCGTTTATGATTGTTTGTAATCACAACAAATTGCCAAATATCGTCGACTGCAAATTAAAAATGTACAACAATACAGCTAAATGAATAGCTGTTAAGGGCCTGTTTACATGGAGGTGGGGGACCCCAGGTAGGTGAGTAAGGTAACCCTCTCGGGTGGGATCAAAAATAACCCGCGTTTACTTGCAATCTTACAACCCTGCCATCCTGGAGTGTACTTTCTCAAGGGCTATTATTGGTTGGTCTTTAAGCACGAAAACAAAACAAAACAAAAGACAACAACGAAAAAAAAAAATGGCGGGCAAACGACGTGTTTTGGCGGTTAATTCTCTGATATCTAGACTGCAAAGCAGCCCATATTTTTGCGTAAATTCAAGTACGCACGAACAGTCAAACAAAAGCTGAAAACGGAGAGCGAGACTGGGGAGACACAGCGTGGTATGGTCAGTTAGTCTCTCTCGTGAATCACTGATCATGTGTCTGCTTTTAGCTTGTCCGTGCCAAATTCTTTAAATGTTTCAAAAGAGAGTCACCCTAGAAGGCTTATGGATAAGAGCTGAATTTCTGTACAATATTGGCCATGACTGGGCCATTGGCCCCTTTACTTAAGTCAAGTTAAGCTGTGTGGCCTTGAGTTGCAAGCTTGTGCGGTTTTCATAAATTCGGCTAGTAAGCGGGGAATTTTAAGATGCCAGCTGCTTTTAGTGGGGGAAGAGGGGGGGTCTATTCTTCTATTTCGCTATTAAATAATATAATTATTTTATCATATTAGTTTTCCATTGTGTGCAATACCATCTACCTTTATATTGGTATCCGTGAATAAAAATCACCACGAAATTGTAACACCTTCAAACTAATAAACGCAAATGGAAAATTCAAATAACAGGAAGAAGTGAATAACATTTAATAACTAAAACATATACTGTACATAATATACCTGTCAACAAATACCGACAGATTATTAACTGCTTTTACTGGAAAGTTCCATCCGTGACTGTATCTTCTGTTGTGGAATAACGTTAACGTGCGTTGCTTGTTTCATTTTACCTTAATATTCTAAAACGTGCAGACGTTTAAAAAATGAAATCAAGTTGATAACGCTTGAATCGTGACATTTATTTTAATGACCTTTTTCATATTTGCCTGTTGAAATGGCGAAAATAAAATCACCCTAAATATTGTCTTGCCAAAAACGCGCGAAATTAAGTATCAATAAGGTATCAATATGTAGTATCAATAATGATGTCAAGGACATGCTCAGTTAACGTTATGCAGCCCGGCCTGCGGGCCGTTTCGCCCTGCTATTGATCGGGCCTCTAATGTCAATCCTGAGTCCGGATGGTTCGGACAAAGCTAAACCATTCACAGCCGGGCTGTCTTTAGTGCCTGCCTCAAAGCAGGATTTCTTTTAATCTGAATTACTGGGTTTAGACTGGATATTTGCTGGGAGAAGATTTGGGCCCAAGGGAACAGAATGTGTCCTGAAACAATGCTGTTTTCCACATGATTTAGCAGCACTAAAAGAGGAAGAAGGGACAGTAACGTCGCCAATGTGTACAATGCCATGTCTTTAAACGCTTTTTTCTCTCTTTTAAAGAGGATCGCTTGTTGAGAGTTGTGGGTAGCATCAACGATCTTTCTGTTGTTGTTACGGATTGCCTGGAAGGTCAAAACGTGCCCGCCAGTGACTATGACCATCAATGAAATGATCGTGATATTTTCCAGCGGTTGATAGATCCCCTCAGGTACTGTGGTTTCCATAAGGGTGATGTTGATGACCCAGATCACCCATGCGCTAACGACAATCTTCACCATTCCTGAAACACAATTTTTAAATGTATAATTGTAAGACTGAAGTAAGTTTAGGCATGGGCCACCAGCTTAATTTCCTGAATGGCATTAGAAAGGTGTTATTTTGATTCGTCTTCAAAGTGGGACTATTTGTAATTAAAAATACAATAAAAAAGGAATCATCCTTTATAAGTAACGGTATAAATATACTGAAAGACCACAGCAACATGCGTCCAGCTAAATCAGTTCCCTTCATGATAACTGTTACCCTTTTTGAATAAGTCTCCATTCCAATAATTAGCCTGAAAAAATTCAGACCCGACTTTTGGAGCTTGCCTCCATAGCTTTTCGACAACGACACGCTTCGCAGTTAAGCTGAGGTAAGAACTTGAACATTTTGGTCGGACAGTATTTTTTCTTCTTTTTTGCCCCGTGTGTTTGTTGGTTGGTTGTCGAGTAATTTTTATGTGGGTGACTCGTCCCAGGAGAAAGAACTATAAAGAATTCGAGAAGACTGAAACAAAAAAGTTATCATTGTGCTGCTATTTTTTGTCAAAACAAGGACTAAGCAAAGTACTTTAGGTTTGAATTGAACTCGTTTGGTATTGCAAGACAATCATTGCTCATCACTGAAGAGAAGATATCACAGGGGCTTGATTTATTTCGTTCCTGAAACCCCCGAAAATTTTTTGCCATCTGTTTCTGACAAGACAATTTATTTCAGGAAACGAACTCAAGACAAAAATGAAGAGGTCTGGTACAATCCTTCATTTCTCGTAGCGTTACATTTGCTGAGTAGGAAAGGGGCCTTGAAACAGCACGAAACCT